AAAAAAAAAAGAATACATAATATTTCACAATAAAAAAGATACTATCATCAAGAAAATACTGAGAATAAAATTATTTGAATATATTCGTAAACTGGCAGAAGAAGAAGAAGAAGGATAATAATGTCTATTTCTTGAGAGATTTATAATTGATCGAATAAAACTATTATAAGTGCCTACACGTGTATAAACTCCAGGTGTATTTGGTTTACCACTAACAAAAAAAAAAAATGAAAAATTTCATCTTTTATTTTTCATATAATTATAAATCTTACCATGATTTACCAAATGATGTAATACCTATTATTTCCCAACGATTATCTGAATTTTCTACCATTAATGGTCCACCTAAGAAATAAAAAACAAAAAAACAAACATCATATGAAAATAGATATTTCATTAAATAAAAAACCTGAATCAGCTTGACATGTATCAATACCACCATTAAGTTCTCCTGCACAAATTTGTCCTTGAGCATAAGTTACATATACACTACATGGCCATTTTGTTGTTTCAAGAATAGGTAAAACAACTTGTTTAAGTGATGTAGATGGACGACCACCAAATGATGTTGAACCCCAACCAATTGCTACTGCAGCAGATTTTATAGGTGGATAACTTTTTCCTATAAGATCATCTGGTGGTAAACAAATTGTTCCAATACGTGGATCACTATCAGGTAATGGTGATATTAATGTTATTATTGCAACATCATTAGCAAATGTTTCAGAATCATATTGAGGATGTATATCAATTGATAATGCAGATATTGAAAGTTTTTTTTCATTAACATGATGTATACCAGCTAATATATTCATATCTGATATACCTTTAAAATCTTCTATACAATGTGCAGCTGTTAATACATGTCGTCTTGTTAATAGAACACCACCACATAAATGTAAATTATTTAATGATCGTTTAGCTAATGATACCATCCATGGATATGAATGTGGTACAGCATTTTGTCCACCCATAATACGACCAAAACGATTTGTTACTTGACTTCTTCCACATGACCAATTTGATAATTGATCAATTTGTTGTATTGATAGAGTATTTTTATAAAAATTTTTCGATGGTATATCATGATTTGTCGAATGCCATGAATAAATTGATGGTGATGGTTGTTGTTGTTGTTGATTTGCTGAATAATACCATTTTTGACCAGTAATTGTTTGTTCTTGTTGATAATAAAATTGTGGTTTATTAAAAATATTTTGATATTGTCTTATTGGAGATTTACTTGCAGAATTAACTATTATAATATTAAAAATAATAAATTGTAGACATAAAAGATTGAGCATGATTAATAATAAAATTTTCGTTTCTCTTTTTTTTTCTATACATCAACCAACCATATTTGTCAGTTGACATATCTTTAACAGTGACATTATTTTACAGCATAGAACAAAAAAAAAACACTACCGAGAGAAAAAAAAAAGTCCTTTTGAAGTTATAATTATTTCTCGTTCTATAATGTTATGACAGAAAGAGAAAAAGAAAAACGTATTTTTTTTTTATCATGTTCGCCTTTCGTTGTCACCGATTTGGTTGCAAATGAAGAAGTCGATTGCGGTATTTTTAATAATGAAATGCCTTACAATGTTGAACGTATGCAATTAATGCACACAGCTGTGCTATATGTGCTATTTCCTTTTGTCCTTGTTCATTGTAGTTACTAGGATTTTATTTTTTCTTTGTTCGTTCTGAATAGAAGTCAAATTATATATTTAACAAAAGTCAATATATATTGTCTTGAAGACATCTTATCTTAATTGAAAAATGATGTATTAAAAATTGTTTAATAAAAGTTTTAAAGTGTTGAGTGACAACTTGGTTTTTTTTTTCAAGGTGATTTGTCTTTTCGTTGAATTTAACCTATAAACAAATGATGTTTTATTATTTTATAACAAAGCACATTCTTTTTTTTATGATGTCATTTATTTTATAATTCATACATATATGTATTGATTGTAAGGGTTTAACATCTTTCAAGGAGAGAAGCTATGTATGAAAGTCTTAAAAAAGTACAACTTTAGAAATGGCAGGTAGAAAATCAGGTATGATCATACGATGATTAAGCTGTATGAGAGAATGAATCGATATAAAGTAGATCATATAATGGTTTTTGATTATAAACAATAATATGAAATTAATAATCATTGCTCTATCATTGGTTAATATTCATTCTTTTTTCATTTGTTGTTTTCTATTCATTTTCATGTTTAGGTAATTTTAATCGCTATTTAACTTCACTACCTATCAATTCGATTAGTTATTATAACCAATCTCAAAGATTTGGATCATCAGTTGACCAACAGTCAATCAGATAACAATGAACAACAGCACAACATGATGAACCATCAGCTGGTAACGATCACTTTTAAGGAATCGATCAATTAGATAGCAAAGGTAGTGAAGAAAAACGATGATTCATACAATAGGTGTGATTTTCCTACCGATATGCCTTTTAATGGTGCTCAAGGTCATCAAAATAAGAATTAGATTTTTTTGTCATCCAATCTCAGAGAATAGTAATTTAGAAGGATTCAATCCTAAAGGATGGTCCAAAAGTTTCGACTCCTATCTGTAAATTAACGTTATTTATATAAAATACATATGTAGATAGTTGTCTGAAATACACAGTTTCGTAGAAAGAGATTATGAAAAGTTATAGTTTCTTTATTAAGGATTTTACATCTAACACTTTTCGGAAAAAAGTAAAACTATTCTTGTAATATCTGAGTGATTATAGTTGAGCAAAATGCTAGTTTCTAAATATTTTTACATGGTTCGATAGAATTCGACAAGCTTTACAAGAATATGAATACCGAACAAAAAAAAACACTTTTGATCCTGTTTCTGAGTTTATCGAACTGTATAAAAATTTCCAGAAAACAATATTTTGCTTCAGACATTTTAGTTCACAATTAGAAAACGATACTTAATTAGATATCTACAAAAAATGTTCTTTCAACTTAGAAGAATATCATAGTCAACATGCATACATGTTACATACAACTGAAAAAACTACTTTGACAAATTGAGGTTAGTTCTTTTCTTTTTTTTTTATTATTTTGCTTATTATATTTGCAATTATATAATTAAAAAAAAAGAAAAAGTTTTCATCTGTTTTGAAAATTTTTTATTCATTAAAAAATAATTTAACACATTCAAGGCGATGAGACCCATCGGTGGGTCCCATTACAAGTTTAGCACAGAAAAATTTGAATATCTCTACCATATTTTCGGCCAAACGGACTGGTTCTTTTACCAATGATAAAGGAATCTTCATAGATCATATTCATAAGAGAAACATTGACAAAAGCTGTTTTTTGAAATATTACAATTGCCATGAATAAAGAAATACAGTTTTTCACGAATTATGAAAAAAAACAATATTCATATCGCCACGAATGTGTTAATCTAATTTATTTTATTCTAAATATAGAATTATACAAAATAATAATGATAAAATTTGAATTGGTATTTGAATTATCAATGATTGAGATGAAGAATCTATCTTATCATTAATCCAATCAATAAACATATTCACTCGTGTATAAACACCTGGATATTTAGGTTGACCACATCCCAAGCCATATGATGTTATTCCAGCAATATGCCATGTACTTGTATTCTTATCAAAAATCATTAATGGTCCTCCACTAAAATAATGAAAGAAAAAAAATCTATTAAGTCTATTTTAATAATTTTCTCTTCAACCTATCTCCTTGACATGTATCTTTACCACCTTGAATAAATCCTGCACAAAATTGAGTATGTTCATCACTTATTTGTTGATCACAATATTCATTTCTATTTGAAATAATTGGTAATTGAACTTGTTGAAGTGTATATGATAGTGAACCATTTTCTTTTAAATTTCCCCAACCAATTGCAATACCACTCATTTGTTCATATGGATATATTGATATATTATTAGGTGGTAAACAAATAAATCCAAGTTTTGAATTATTCAAATCAATTTTATGTGAAAGTTTTAATAATGCAATATCATTTAAAAAGAATTCATTATCATATTTTTCATGTAATATAATCGATTGAATATTAATACGAATTGGATTTGTTTCATTGATATAATGAGAACCAATAACAACAAAATAATCTGATAGAAATAAACGATTTTTATCATAAAAACAATGTGCAGCTGTTAAAACATATTCATCATTTATTAAAGTTCCACTACAAAATGCACTATCAGGATCTGTTAATGGTATATGAAAATATGTTTGACGTATACTAACTATATTAATAAAAAATTTAAAATTAATTGAATTAATAATTTTAAATATTTACCAATCCATGGCCAAGAATGTTCTCGAGCTGTATAACCTCCAATAATTCTTAAATTAGAAAAAATAGGTTGTTGATATGAACATCCACATTGTTTAAATGAAGGTATACATGATGAAAATAAGAAATGAAATTGTAGAGAAAAAAATAGAATAAAAAAAATCATTTTTATGTTTTTTTTCTTCTTTATATTGATTATTTCAATCGAATTAATAGTTTTATTTTTCCTTATTATAATAAATATTTTTAATAAAACATCTGTTATTATTCTCATCATATAATATTTTTGACGTCGATACAATATATTTTTTATTTCATTCTTATAAAAATAAAAAAAAAATAATAATAATAACATTTGTCTATTATGTACGATATTCTGGATGTTGTAAAAAATAATTTTTAACTAATTGAAGTGATCGACTTCTATGACTAATTCGATTTTTTTCTGTTTTATCCATTTCAGCAAATGTTTGACGACCTTGTTGTCCTTGTTCATTATCTGGTTGAAATATTGGATCCCAACCAAATTTATTTGGTCCACGTGCTTCAACAATTCGTCCTGAACATCGACCATCAAATATAATTGGTTCACTTGTTGGTCCAGCACAAAATGCAAATACACATTGTGCATATGCTGTTTTATCATCAAAACCAATAAGTAATTTATTTAAACCATCATATCCTAATTTATCTAAAAACCATTTTATATATGGTCCTGGAAGACCATGTAATGCATTAAAACATAATGATGTATCTTCAATTAAAACTGGACCATTTATACGTTGAGCAGCTAATTTAGCTTTTTCTTTTGAAATTTCTTCTGGTTCACCTTGATATTCTGGTACTATTAAATAAATGAAAAAAAAATAATAATAATAATAATTTATTTCAATTTATATTTATTTAATACATACAATCGAGTTCTTCTGATTTTAAATTAGGTAATACATCAGCTAATATTGCTTGAACTTCAGCTAATTTATTCTTATTTCCTGTAACAAAAGTAACTACTACCATTTTCTTTCTTTTTTTTTCTTCTACCTATAAAAGAAAATGTATAATATTTTGTTCTCATTCTTTTATATAAAGAAAACAAAAAAACATACCCAAAAACGTGAAATATTTTTTGTTGTCACAACAACAACAACAAACAGAATTCACCTTGTCGTAAAGTAATAGAATTCATAAAATTATCGAATAGTAAAATATAACGATGATGAAATATTTTATACTATAAGTCGTATGACTAATTATACCAAAAAAGAAATTTCACAAATGTTTTGCAATCATATTTTTATTATTATTATGAAATATATCTATATATATATACATATAATCAAACAAAAAAACAATCTGTATATATAAGGCACCACATATAACAATCAATTAAAGAATATTATGCATCTGATGATGATGATGATGAAGGGATATTTTCAGTATATATCTGTGGTTCTTTAAGAAATGTTTGTAAACGTAATGGTAGATCAAGATCATCAATGCGATCACGACGTATTTGTCGATGGATAACAAACCGGATTATATGTTTTAATGATGTCATATAAGCATGACGAGACATTGGGTATAATAAACGAACCGGTGTCATTGGTTGACCTAGGATTTTAAAAAAAAACAAAAATTTCGATTGAATATTATGAGACCAATCAAATTATTTGGATAAGTTCGATCAAAAGTTATGTAGTTTGTTTGTAAAATATAGTTTATCTCTTATAGGAATTATGGAGCGTATACTCATATTACGACTAGAAATATTAAGTTTATTTTTCATCGGGAGATACAAAATTCCTCTCACTTAAACACTAGAAATTCTATAAAAAGTTGATACACTTCGTTGTGTTAACGAGGGAATTGTCCGAAGTGATTTACCACTTTTGAGCTCATATTTTAGACATATAGAAGAGACCTCTAGACTAGAATAACCCTAAAAGGCTTCGGATTCATAGACCTCCTCTACAGAGTTAGAGCAATT